CGCCCCCCCCCCCCCCCCACACACACACACACACACACACACGCACACACACTGAGCCGTGCCCAGCCTCCCACCCCCGCCCCGCCGCCTGCTGCAGTTCAAGCGCGCCTACAAGCGCAATGACAAGCCCGTGTGCGTGGCCGCCATCAAGTTCATTGCCCAGCTGGCCAACCAGCAGGTGAGTGTGTGTGTGGTGGGGGGGCTCGCCCGCGGACCGATCCGGCATGCATGCATGCGGCCAGCGCCAGGGCGATGTTTTCTACCTGGGCATTGCAGAACTTCCAATGGTTAAGGTTCTCTCCTGTCTCAAGAGGGGAAGACATCACAAGCACACATAACTGCAAATTAAACGTCCACATGCGTGCCCCCTGCCTGCCTGCTCTGTTGCAGGTGGTGCACGAGCTGCTGCCGCTGGAGCTGCTGCTGCTGCTGCTGGAGACGCCCTCGGACGACGGCGTGGAGGTGGCCGTGGATTTCCTCAAGGAGGTGGGCGGGGGGAGGTACATGCGGTACATGGGGCGGTACATATGGTACATGGGGCGGGACAGCGCGGGGGGCCGGGGCTGACATGGCGAGACGGAGTGGCCGCTGCTGGGCAACGGCCGCGGTGCTCATTCTTGAGTACTATAGCGATCAGCATTGATGATGTCTCATCGATGTTTCACCTGGAGAGCCACGCGTGGAGCGTGTTGTGCGCGGCTGCCGGGTGCCGCGTGTGCGGCGCATGTCGCTGCGTCCCCGCCGCCGCCACCCCGCGTGGCCTCGACGCTGCCGTGGGCCTGCCGCCGTGCCGCATTGCAGGTGGGGCCCCTACTGCAAGATCTGTCGCCCTCGGGCCTGCAGACGATCATGGACCGTTTGAGGTGGGTTGGGCTGCTGGCACCTGCCGGGAGGGGTTGGCCGGCGGCCCTCCCAGCCGCTTGGCTCTTGAGTCGTTTAAGTGCCAAGCCTGGCCTGCTTCCTTCCCTCCTCCTGCTGCGCCTCCCTCCCTCTCCTCCCTCTCTTCCCCTCCTCTGATTACACTCCCTCCCTCCCTCCTCCTCCCTCCCCTCCTGCTCCCCCCGCAGGTCCATCATGCAGGAGGGCAATGTGGACACCCGCACCCAGTACATCGTGGAGGCGCTGTTTGCGCTGCGCAAGGCCAACTGGGAGAAGTGAGCTGGCGGGGGGGCTGCGGCTGAGCTGGCATGGGGGCGCGGCTGAGCTGGCGAGGGGGGCGCGGCTGGGGAGTGCGCCAGGGCTGCGGGGGCGCACCGGCTAGGGCTGGGCGCCGCGCTGGGCTGGGGCTGGGCGCTGTGCCCGGGCCGGGGGGCGCTGGCAGGGGCTGCGGGGTCGCGCCGGGCTGGGGCACGTGCCAGGCCGCGCCGCCTCCTAAGCCTGCCGGCTGGGGCTGGGAGCGCGGGGCGGGGCGAGGCCGAGCTGCCGTGGGGCCGGGGCGGGGCCGGTGGAAAATGGCGGGGTGGCAGGCGCCTGCCCTAGCTTGGCCTCCTGC